AAAACCTGATTAATTACTGATACTGTTGCACCCTGTTGTAGAGAATGGGGTTAGGTTAGGTTAGGTTGGTTAGGTTAGGTTAGGTTAGGTTAGGTTAGGTTAGGTTAGGTTATGGTGGTTAATCTTTCCGTGATATAAGCTTGGGTGGGAGATTCTTCAGGGGATTCGAATATGGTAAGCGATTTGATTATCATTCATAGCTTTTAATGGTAATTTTTAATACTGTTTGGTGAAAAAAAAGTGTAATTTGTATTTTTGTTTAAGCAATAATTATTTTTGTTAGAAGCACTTTTCCATTAATTGCTTTTACCTGTAATGTTTAATACTGTCAGGTAAAAAAAATGATAAAATTTGTATAAATTTTTGGGTAATTATGATTTTTGAGGGAACTCGCGCGCGCCTATGTGTGTGTGTGTGTGTGTGTGTGTGTGTGTGTGTGTGTGTGTGTGTGTGTGTGTGTGTGTGTGTGTGTGTGTGTGTGTGTGTGTGTGTGTGTGTGTGTGTAAGTCAGTTTATTGCTCCCCGCTTTTTTCTGATCTGATCTGATGGATGTATATTGCATGAGGGATGTTTGTAAATAGTGATAGTCTTCGTCACCATTGTTCATTGGTGTCTAAAAGGGAGAGGGAGGGGAGGGTGAGGTAAGGAGGGTGAGGGGGGGGGGGAGGGTGAGGTAAGGAGGGTGAGGGGGGGGAAGGGTGAGGTAAGGAGGGTGAGGGAGGGGAGGGTGAGGTAAGGAGGGTGAGGGGGGGGGGGAGGGTGAGGTAAGGAGGGTGAGGGGGGGGAAGGGTGAGGTAAGGAGGGTGAGGGAACGTAAGAACACAAGAATGGGGGAAACTGCAGTGGGTCTATTGGCTCATACTGGGCAGTCCCATTTACACCCAACCCCTATTGCTCGTATAAGCATCCAACCTATGTTTGAAGCTATCCATCGTATTCGAGTTAATGATGATATTTGGTAACTTGTTCCACTCGTCCACTACTCTATTTCCAAACCAGTGTTTACCTATTTCGCGCCTAAATTTTAATTTGTCTAATATAAAACCATTGTTACGAGTTCGCCCCTGGTTGAATAGTTTGAGTACCTTTGTAATGTCCCCTTTGTTTAGCCCTGACTTCCATTTATACACCTCTATCATAGCGCCCCTCACTCTACGAGAGATGGTGGTGATGGGGAAGTTAGTGAGGGAGAGAGGGAGTGAGAGCGAGGAAAGGAATGAGGGAGAAGGAAGGAGGTGGTGAGAAGAGATATCAAGAGTAGTCGTAGTTGTTTACCGGGGATACCTGTCCTTAATTAACTAGGCTTCTCCCTTGTACCTGCCCATCTCACACCTGTCACCGCCGCTATTGGTCTCTGAGGACGTTTCTATCTGGTGTTTATTTATTTATTTTCTTGGTTTCTGATTGTGTTTTTTTTTATGGTTTCTTTAGGTTTATTGTTTTTTGGATTGGTTGATTGGTGTTTTAATGCTAATTCTTATTTTTTGTCGATTGTTTTATATGATTTGTGTATGTGTGTGTGTGTGTTTTTTTAGGGTTTTCTCTATGGTATTTTTTGGGAGTATAATTAAAAACGCTTCTGTAATGAGAGAGAGAGAGAGAGAGAGAGAGAGAGAGAGAGAGAGAGAGAGAGAGATTCGGAATTCAAATAGTCGTCTCTTAACAGCTCTTCCACATTCGATATATCCGTCTTACAATGGTGAAATATAACATAGATATTGAACCCTTGTAGTACCTGTGTCTCGGTATTGAACCCTTGTAGTACCTGTGTCTCGCTATTAAACCCTTGTCGTACCTGTGTCTCGCTATTGAACCCGTGTAGTACCTGTGTCTCGCTATTAAACCCTTGTAGTACGTGTGTCTCGGTATTGAACCCTTGTAGTACCTGTGTCTCGGTATTGAACCCTTGTAGTACCTGTGTCTCGGTATTGAACCCTTGTAGTACCTGTGTCTCGGTATTGAACCCGTGTAGTACCTGTGTCTCGGTATTGAACCCTTGTAGTACCTGTGTCTCGGTATTGAACCCTTGTGTAGTACCTGTGTCTCAGTATTGAACCCTTGTAGTACCTGTGTCTCAGTATTGAACCCTTGTAGTACCTGTGTCATATTGACCCTTGTTAGTACCTGTGTCTGTATTGAACCCTTGTAGTACCTGTGTCTCGCTATTGAACCCTTGTAGTACCTGTGTCTCATGGACTAGTACCTGTGTCTCAGTACCCTTGTAGTACCTGTGTCTCGGTATTGAACCCTTGTAGTACCTGTGTCTCGCTATTGAACCCTTGTAGTACCTGTGTCTCAGTATTGAACCCTTGTAGTACCTGTGTCTCGGAGCCCTTGTTACCTGTGTCTCATATTGAACCCTTGTAGTACCTGTGTCTCGCTATTGAACCCTTGTAGTACCTTGTCTATATGAACCTTGTAGTACCTGTGTCTCCTATTGAACCCTTGTAGTACCTGTGTCTCGCTATTGAACCCTTGTAGTACCTGTGTCTCGCTATTGAACCCTTGTAGTACCTGTGTCTCAGTATTGAAACCCTCTCGGTATTAAACCCTTGTAGTACCTGTGTCTCGGTATTGAACCCGTGTAGTACCTGTGAGTACCTGTCTCATATTGAACCCTTAGTACCTGTGTCTCTTGATTGAACCCTGTAGTACCTGTGTCTCGCTATTAAACCCTTGTAGTACCTGTGTCTCGGTATTGAACCCTTGTAGTACCTGTGTCTCACCCTTGTAGTACCTGTCTCGTATTGAACCCTTGTAGTACCTGTGTCTGTTATTGAACCCTTGTAGTACCTGTGTCTCGGTATTGAACCCTTGTAGTACCTGTGTCTCAGTATTGAACCTTGTAGTACCTGTGTCTCGCTATCAGAGACCCTTGTAGTACCTGTGTCTCATATTGAACCGTGTGCCTGTCTCAGTATTGAACCTGTGTCTCGCTATTGAACCCTTGTAGTACCTGTGTCTCGCTATTGAACCCTTGTAGTACCTGTGTCTCGCTATTGAACCCTTGTAGTACCTGTGTCTCTCGGTACGTGTTCTTATTGAACCCTTGTAGTACCTGTGTCTCGCTATTAAACCCTTGTAGTACCTGTGTGTCTCGTGAACCCTTGAGTACCTGTGTCTCAGTATTGAACCCTTGTAGTACCTGTGTCTCGGTATTAAACCCTTAGTACCTGTGTGTCGGTATTGAACCTTGTAGTACCTGTGTCTCATTATTGAACCCGTGTAGTACCTGTGTCTCAGTATTAAACCCGCCTTGTGTCTCCTGTGTTATTATTAAACCCTTGTAGTACCTGTGTCTCGCTATTAAACCCCTTGTAGTACCTGTGTCTCGGTATTAAACCCTTATACCTGTGTCTCGTATTAAACCCGTAGACACCTGTGTCTCGGTATTGAACCCTTGTAGTACCTGTGTCTCGCTATTAAACCCGTGTAGAACCTGTGTCTCGGTATTGAACCCTTGTAGTACCTGTGTCTCGCTATTAAACCCATGCAGAACCTGTGTCTCATTGAACCCTTGTTGTACCTGTGTCTCGCTATTAAACCCTTGTAGTACGTGTGTCTCGGTATTGAACCCTCAGTATTGAACCCTTGTAGTACCTGTGCTGGTATTGTTGTAGTACCTGTGTCTATTGAACCCTTGTAGTACCTGTGTCTCAGTATTGAACCCTTGTAGTACCTGTGTCTCGGTATTGAACCCCCTGTGTCTCATAAATATTCTTTCTCAGTGAACCAACCAAGCAGCCAGACAGACAGACAGACAGACAGAACAGATGACCGACAGACAACAGCCCACCGTTGCCTGTTGCATATTGGACGCCTCACCTCCCCGCTTCTTGTCCACAACTGGGAAAACTCGAGCTAGAAACTTGCCTAATAAGATGTATGACTGGAGGTCGGGTCAGGTCGCAGTTGTTTGTGTGTAACAGGAGGAGAAGAGGGGTTGTGGGGGCTTGAGGCAGGAGAGGGGGTGGTGGTGGTGGGGGGTGGCGGAAGAGGGGCTGGTGGTGTGGGGGTAGTTGGTGATTTGCATAAACAAGCAGAGTCTCTCGACGCTGTTGTTTTACTTGGAGTTGAGTTTCTTTTCATTTCTTTTAGGGAGGGAGGGAGGAGGGAGGGGGAGGAGGGGAAAGACACTTGCACTTGGAAGGGAGGATGGGAAGAGGGTGGGGAAGGGGGCGGACGGGTGAGGAGGAAAGCACCGTGGAATTGGGCAAGGGAAAGGAGGAAAGGGGGAGGGGAAAGGAAGGGGGCTGGGGTGGGGAGGGAGGGGAAGGAAAGGGAAGGTAAGAGGGTGTGGGACAGATGGAGAGGAGGGGAAGAAACGTGGAGGAAGTTGGGTGTTTGTTCTTGTCGATATTAGAGGCAATGTTGGGTTGTTCTGGTGGGCAAGACAAACAGGGGGGAAGAGGTAATCACAGGTGGCAACAGAGGCACCAACACCACCACCACCAGGAACAATAGAAGGAGAGACAACAGAAGAAATTGTACGGGTAACTAATGCAGCAGAAGGAACAGTGACAGCTTTCCGGGAGGAGGAGGAAGAGGAGTTAAGAGGAAGGAAGGAAGGAAGGAAAGAGAGGGTAGTAATAAGGAAGTAAGGAAGGGAGGGAGGAGGGAGGAAATAGAAAAATATTTGAATGATATTTTGTCATTATAACATTAAAATATGAAGTCTAAAGTTACCTGTACGGAGTCTGAAGTTACCTGTACGGAGTCTGAAGTTACCTGTACGGAGTCTGAAGTTACCTGTACGGAGTCTGAAGTTACCTGTACGGAGTCTGAAGTTACCTGTACGGAGTCTGAAGTTACCTGTACGGAGTCTGAAGTTACCTGTACGGAGTCTGAAGTTACCTGTACGGAGTCTGAAGTTACCTGTACGGAGTCTAAAGTTACCTGTACGGAGTCTGAAGTTACCTGTACGGAGTCTGAGTGTTATGCTACCTGTGGTTCATTAATATTTTACCGTGTTATAATGTGTTCCTCATATTTCAGGGTGTTGTGACAGAACACTTGCAGGTACTGGTTAATACTTGTGTAAGGTAAAGTACCGTAGATAAGTAGGTAATTGTGTAAAGTGTTATTAAGTGTAAGTGTTAAGAGGAAATAACGGTAAGAGTGGAAGGCATTAGAGGAGAAGGTCGTGCAGGAGGGTAAGGATGGTTGTAATGGCGGGAGTGTTGTGGTGTTAAAGGCACCATGTTGTTGATTGTGCTGGTTATTGTGGGGCTTTGGGCCACCGCGGCCTGGCTCTTTCACACACATTTGAACCAGGCACCAGCCAACCCCGCCCTCAAGAGCGCCATTCCCTCGACCAATAGTGTCATTTCCTCTACCAGTAGTGCCATTCCCTCCATCACAAAGGATTCCATCACTCGTGCCGTCACCGACACCGCTAGTGCCAGCGATTCAACAACCTCCAGCAGGGCCATCACCATCACCAGTGTCTCCATTACCGCTAGTGACGAGTCCCCCATCACCCCCGCCAGGGTCTCGTCCCCACCATCACCAAAGGGCGATGACCGCCTTCACTCCAAGCCAGAAAATGATGTTAGCGAGGAGGAGCGAGAACTGACACGTCGTCAAAAGCTCCTTAGAAAACGCCGAAGACTGATCTCTCGTCTTTACGACCTCAACCAAGACGCTGACGAGATTCTGAGGTTGTACTTCACCAACAGTGGCGGAGGTCAGTCAGCCTCCAACTCTGCCTCCCGCTCAGCCTCCAGGGAGAGAGACTCCAGCGCTGTCAGGCTCTTGGGGGTCACCACCCGTAGGGAATGTACCGCGGGGCGCTCACAGGCTGGACTCCCGACCCTCCGACGACGAAGTGAACCCGTCCCTTCGTCGTCGACGGCCGTGTCAGTGCGGGCGGGGGTGACACCAGGACGGATCTCAGTCGCCGAGGACGTCCCCAGGATCCCTGTCGTGCGAGGATCCGATTCTCAGAGCCTCGGGTCCAGCGACGACTCTGGTATCGGCTTCGAGTGCACGGATGGAACCCATAACCACAGCCATCTTGAGGTGTGTGTGTGTGTGTGTGTGTGCGTGCTACTGTCCTCGTCCTGGTTAAGAAAAGTGTGTCAAAAAACATCTGCTAACATATTGTAAAAAATAAAATTTGTCTTCTGAACGAGTGCCAAAATGTGTCCACTAACACCACGAGTGCCAAAAATTGTGTCAACTAATCAACGTGTGAAAAATGTCATTATTAAACGGTGTCAAAAGCCGTCTCGACTAATAACAAAAATAATTCACATTTTCTTTTAACAAAACTCACCCAAATAAAGGTTTCTACTAACAAACTAAATGTTAACAAAGTCCATGTTTGTATTAACCTGTCGAGCTAATATAACGATCCAGCATACCTTTGTGTACAAGGATATATTATACTGGTATACTGAGTATGTCTGTTTGACTGTATCCTGACTTGTGATGTCTCTTCCTGTCTTGTGTCTTTTGGCCTTCAGGATGTCTTAAGGAAATATGTCTAGGCCTTTAGGATGTCTTAAAGGAATGTCTCAAGGTCTTTAGGATGTTTTAAGGGAATGTCTTTAAAGATTTAGGATGTCTTCATAAATGTGTCTAGGCTTTCATCGTGTCCTTAAGGAATGTTTTTTTTTAGGGTTATAGGACGTCACCTAGCAATACAGGTGTCTCCTGGTGAATGTTAACAGGTCTCTTCAGGATACTCCCACTGGTTTTATGATGCCTGTTGCTTGTCAGTCGAAGCCAACAACCAGCAGCAGCTCCTCGCCAGAGTTGGTATTCCCCGGGTGAGGTGCAGCCACCCTCACATAAAATACTGTAAAGTTTAAGTTTTGGCCAACAACCTGAAGGACTTAGTGAGCATGAGAGACCTGTGTTGTGTCTTGGTCCACACCCTGGTAATTAGTGTGTGTGTGTGTGTGTGTGGAGAAAATCCCACCACCGCAATACAGTCCTTTACACAGTTAGGGATCATCCTTGTCCTCACACTCTTGGTTGGCTTGTCCACCACCACACCACCACCACCACTGTTAACTTCATCTCCAACAACAACCCTACCATCACCTCCACCATCCTCACCACACCACCACCACTGCCATCCTTACCACACCACCACCACTGCCATCCTTACCACCACACCACCACCACCATCCTTACCACCACCTCCACCATTCTCCACCCACACACACATTGCCCACACACCACCTCCACCATTCTCTTACACCACCACCTCCACCATTCTTACCCACACCACCACCATTCTTACCCACACCACCACCTCCCACCATCCTCCACCACCACCTGCCATCATACCCACACACCACCACCACCATTCTCACCACACCACCACCTCCACCATTCTTCCCCACACCACCACTCCACCATTCTCACCACACCACCACCCCTCCCACCATTCTTACCACACCACCGCCTCCTGTTCTCACCCACCACCACCACCACCACCATCCTTACCACACCACCACCACCACCACCCTTACCACACCACCACCACCA